TCTCCTTTAATATGCCGCTCGACGGACCACTTATTTGTGTTTGTTGCACGTCTCAGCATATGGAACTCACGAACTGAAATTACGTGTATAAGTATTGTACTTGTGAGAAGCTATTTATTATTTGTCCTTTTGAGTCTTCAATGCAATTATTTTCTGTTCTCTCTCTCTCTCTCTCTCTCTCTCTCTCTCTCTCTCTCTCTCTCTCTCCCTCATCCTCATCCACCCTCCCTTCCTCCTTCTCTCTTTCGCTTTCCACACTGTAGCCCTCCCACTTTTTCTGTCGCTCGTCCTCCCATTCTTCTCACTCTCCTGTGTTCTCTCCATCTTTTCTTCTCAACTCTCTCTCACTTCCCTCCTCTCTCACTTCCTCTTTCGCTTGACTCCACTCTCTCTCTCTCTCTCTCTCTCACTTCCCCTATTCCCTCCTCTCTCTCTTGCCTCTCTCTTCCCTCCTCTCTCTCTTCCATCCTCTCTCTCCTTCGTCCTCTCTCTTTCTCTCTCTCTCTCTCTCTCTCTCTCTCTCATGGTAGTGCATCTTAGTTCGCGGTTTTATACGGCATCCTCAAACTCTCAGGAATGACAGATGACAATCTTTGGCGGAAGGGGAAGGAGTGTAAGATCAGCTCATTGCTGGGACCGAAGAGAGAGTGGAGAAGTAAGGATCACGCGCGGTCGGTGTCCCGTTGTGGAATGCACTGTGACTGATCGGAGGAAACGGCCGATCAGAGCAACCGGCCTCTAATATTCTCATCCAAACAGTGGAGTCCTCCGACCTAACTTCGCGAATCTAGGACTTTCCGCTCTACGAGGCTGCAGCTGCAGGTTCGCAACTACTTACTCTGACGCATGCGGTAGAGAGCTAACGAAATTGTCAAATATGGCTCGTTCATTCCAACCCGGGGCAAAGCTCGCGTGATTTCACCACGTGTACTTGGTCGTGACAGACCACTGCAACTAACATCAGCTCTTCGAATACGCCGACGCCATTTCCTGGAAGTGGCAACACGGAGGTGTCCTTTAGGGAAAAAAAAACTTGTGTAGGAGAAGGAAGTCACAATTTTCTATATGCTATTCTCATTAAAAGATAAGACTTCACGAAGCACGCGTCGAATGTAAAAATAAATCTTCGTAGACGATACTTCCAGGAATGGTGGTGCTTGAGTGTTGCGAAAGATTGCTGGAATTAAGCCTGTATCGGGCCATATAACCATATTACGAACAACCTCCACATTTGGGTATATATACCTCCACGTTTGGGTTATCGGAGATACAAAGACTAGGCGGCATTCTAGTACAGTGGAAGTTGTATTATACTTGACATACGTAGAATGACAAGTACCAGTCATGTCATTGAAAATATTCATTATTTTACGCAACACGCGTTCTTGTTACGTATCTTTATGTGTATATAACTTTTTTATTGCTGTGAAATGACCCAATACGGTGAAAATACTGAATGATCGGTTTTCAAACGACATTTTTATGAATGAATCCATTCAGTGGTAACCTATAGATCTCAGACTGACATTTTACCTTATAATGTAGATTCTTTTTAACTGTGAGCCCACACGCGGCGCCTCGTCCGTGACGTCTTTCAGCTTGTACTCCCGGGAGACGCGCAAAGGCGCGTCTTTTGTCTCGCAACTCGATAACTTGCAGAATCACTGCTCCGGTCCTCAAACACTGACCGCCATCAGCGGCGGAGACGAGGGCGGCGGCCGCGTCGCTCCACTAGATGCATCGGCGACGTCGCCAGAAGCCCGGACAGGGCTGCTGAAGAACACGCGGGGACGTTCAGCCGCCGGAAGGAACAGAGGGTCGCGCGCGCACGGCAGAACTCCGCTTCCGGGACGCAAACCTCCGTTAGGTGGCTTCTCTCAGTTTTCTAGAGAGGTTTTGCTCAGCGCAGAAATAGATAACCGGATGGTGCTCTGGCGGCGAAGGCAAAAAGTGGTTCCGTGTCTAACTTGTATCGGCGCTGCACTCAGTATTAAAGGTGTTGCATATTTTTTATCTGACGCTTGTAACATTCATTTTTCATTCGAGTTAATAGTTTCGAAACGTGAATTTATTTTTCGTTGTCAAATTGTTACAATTAAAAATAATATTTTGTAGAAAAACATGCGAAGAAAACATTACTTACAACCTGGTGAACGTTCGTAGTATATTTTCCTTATTCAAATAATCGATCTCTTGTTTGTTTGTTTCAGTATTCATCTACTTAGTCGAAATCTTTGTCAATTTTTTTTTACTATTATATTTTTTAAGGAAAAAAAGGTGTATTATCGAAAATTAATTATAGTAGTCTTGTTTATAAAATCAGTTTGGTACAATTTCGACTTGGTGTTTGCTTTGTCAATGTGGGGCTTGCTGCGGCCGTTTCCCCTTTGTAGTAAGTAGCGCGCGCGCTTATCGCGGGCCGGAGCCCGTCCGCCGCGTTGGCATGCGAGCGCCGTGCGGCTGCGGCAGCGGGCGCAGCTGCGGCTTGGGCTAATATGGGCAGGCGGCGGTGTTGAGTCACGGCACGCCCTCTCCGCCCGCTCGGCCTCCCCGCTCCGTCCTGCCCGCCCCGCTTTCCCGGCTTCGTTCTCTCCTCCCCGCTCCGCTCACCCCACCCACTCCTCTCTGCCCCGTTCTCGCTCCTCCCCGCTTCGCTCTCCCGCTTCGTCTTTCCCGCTCTGCTCCCCCCACCGCCCTCTTCGCTCAGCTCTTTCAACCCCGTTCTCCCTTCTTTCCCCTTGCTTCGTTTTCCACGCTGACCCCGCTTCTACCACCCAGCTCTGCCCTCCCCGCACCGATCTCCTCACTGCGCCCGCCCCTCCGCTCTCCCCACTCCGGTTCTTCCTCCACTCTCCCCGCAATGTCTGTTACACTTCACCCTCTGATTCGCCCTCCTTCCTCCCTCCTTCTGCACCCCATCCTCTTTCCGTCTCTCCTGCGTCAACTTCTGCACGTACTCTCCGGTCGCACTTCACGCCTTCAGCCCGCTTACACTCCTCCCTCTCCCGCCTCGCGGTTCTCATACGCTGGCCCTGCACCCTGTTTGGGATTAAAATCCGCTCGTGCATACAAACGGAAGCAAACCGAATTAGGCGTTTACTGTGCCATACGGGTGCGCCAGTACCTGCTTAGATCGTTTTATATTGTCGATAGGTATGTGGAGTCGAGCCTCAGTAACATGTGATTGTGATTGTAAGACGACATAAATTTAATACAGAACAATACGTAATAAATGGAAGTTCTGTAAATTAATGATGATGCGCAGATGTACTCTGACAACCTTTACGATAAAAATAAGTATATGATGTTCTTATTAAGTTCTTACGCTCTTCTACAATTTTTCTGAGATTGTGTTAATATTCGTAACATTTGTATTTTATCAATTACTTCATCGGTACTTTTATTCTATCATTCAATTTCAATTAGGTCTTCCGAGAAACGTGAATGATGGTGTATCGAGTCTTGGGGATACCGTCTTCAAACATCTTCCACCAAACTTTTACAAGCCAGTCATTCAGTGACCTATAAATCTGTGCTCGGCTGTGGTTGCACATTAGTTAAGATTTTTTATTATATCGTTCAAGTTTGATTCTGATGTTTTAGAGATAAGTAATTGAATTGTCACTTGGACTTTTTTTTCGGGCATTGAAGTCTCCAAATTCAACCGTGGTTCTGGAGCTTTCTCTAAGGCAACTTCGCAGCCAGGTGAGGCGCATGTGTGTAGCAGGCACTTCTGCAAGTGTTTTGTATGTTAGAGTCCGATGCCTGGAAGCGAACTTCAAGCTCGTCGAGGTCTCCTGTCTATTTATATTTATATACGATTTCTTCTAATGGCTGGTTTTATTATTTCCCTTAGGAGCGGAGTCACGTAATACTTGGTTTGATCAAGTTGGTCATTGTTTCATTTTGTTCACAGAGGAAAGGAAACAAAGCGCTTTTGAAACGCAACATGCTATTGGTGTGCATATTGAATGTTCGAATGACAATGTAGCCTCTTCTCATTTTACGATTGCTTTGGAGTCTCCAGCTTCGTGTTCACTCTTTATTGTTTTGCGGTTATTCTTTCCCTTTTTTCATTGTCCGCCTGTCTGTCTGTCTCACCCCGGCCATCTTGCTTCCTGATCTTTGCTTTCTGTGTTAAACATTACTTCCGTTTGTTTCTCAGACGGATGGAGTTCTCTCTCGTTTTTCTCTGGCCCTTCATTTACTGGCGATTTGCAGGTCCCAAACGCCCTTTCATGTGGCTGCTAGCAACAAGCGCGTGTACAACCCACACGTTTTGAGCAGAAGTGCTGTCTGTTGCTTCGCGTTGCATCATGGCGGGTCTGAGCCCAATGTGTCCGAGCGACATGGTGATTCTGTTTGAATTCTTGTTTGGTTCCCTCGGATGGCTTCTGTCTCTGTCCTCTTCTGCTTTCCAGACATTTCATTACTTTTTTTCGTCAGCAGTGTGTGTACGTCGCCCCGGCGGCAGCCTGTCTGCTAGTGAGGAAGTGCATGCCCCCCCC